CAATTTGCACAGTTTTATGCAGAATTTCACATTTGCTCTTTGGTATCTGCCCAAGGCGATGGGTGATTTGGACATCTTTCCCACTCTGGCACCTATTCAGGATGATGGGTGATTTGAACATTTTTCCCACTCTGGTATCTGCCCAAGGCGATGGGTGATTTGGACATCTTTCACACTCTGGCACCTGCCCAAGGTGATGGGTGATTTGAACAGAGTGGGAAAAATGTTCAAATCACCCATCGCCTTGGGCAGATACCAGAGTGGGAAAAATATTCAAATCACCCATCGCCTTGGGCAGATACCAGAGTGTGAAAGATGTCCAAATCATCCATCGCCTTGGGCAGGTGCCAGAGTGGGAGAGATGTCCAAATCACCCACCGCCTTGGGCAGACACCAGAGTGGGAAAAATGTTCAAATCACCCATCGCCTTGAGAAGGTGCCAGAATGGGAAAGATGTCCAAATCACCCATCGCCTTGAGAAGGTGCCAGAGTGGGAAAGATGTCCAAATCACCCATCGCCTTGAGAAGGTGCCAGAATGGAAAGATGTCCAAATCACCCATCGCCTTGGGCAGATACCAGAGTGGGAAAGATGTCCAAATCACCCATCGCCTTGGGCAGATACCAGAGTGGGAGAGATGTCCAAATCACCCATCGCCTTGGGCAGGTGCCAGAGTGGGAAAGATGTCCAAATCACCCATCGCCTTGAGAAGGTGCCAGAGTGGGAAAGATGTCCAAATCACCCATCGCCTTGAATAGGTGCCAGAGTGGGAAAGATGTCCAAGTCACCCATCGTCTTGAATAGGTGCCAGAGTGGGAAAGATGTCCAAGTCACCCATCGTCTTGAATAGGTGCCAGAGAGGCAAAGATGTCCAAATCACCCACTGCCTTGGGCAGATACCAGAGTGGGAAAGATGTCCAAATCACCCATCGCCTTGGGCAGATACCAGAGTGGGAGAGATGTCCAAATCACCCATCGCCTTGAGAAGGTGCCAGAGTGGGAAAGATGTCCAAATCACCCATCGCTTTGGGCAGATACCAGAGTGGGAAAAATGTTCAAATCACCCACCGCCTTGAGAAGGTGCCAGAGTGGAAAAATGTTCACATCACCCATCGCCTTGAGCAGGTGCCATAGTGGGAAAGATGTCCAAATCACCCATCGCCTTGGGCAGGTGCCAGAGTGGCAAAGATGTTCAAATCACCCATCGCCTTTGGCAGATACCAGAGTGGGAAAAATGAACAAATCACCCATTGCCTTGCTAAGTTCCAAGAGGTCAATCGCCATGCCTGAACACAGACATATGAAGACAAGGAAGAAGTTTGGACATAGAGCTCACACAAGGTTAGGAATCCCTGATTGTCTTCAAGGAAGTTCCATTTAACGCCTTTGCGATCAACTGATTGGTTGGAGGTAGCTGGTGTCTCCATGACTTTCCTGCAGAGTGTCTCCATAACAAGCAGCTCCCGAGCCATTACTGTGTGTATCCATTCACACACACAGCGCAGCTCGGCCCTGCCCCCACTCTCCTCATTGTCTCACTGGCCGTGATTCACAGTAGCGGGAGCCAATAGATACCTGGGAAAGCCACTCCTTCCATGCACATTGCTGGTTCTAGATGGGGCTCAGGTAAGTATTGGGCAGGAGATGCACACAGGTTTTTTTTTTTACCATAGAGTGCATGAAGGTAAAAAACCTTTACAACCACTTTCACGTGAAATCCTCCCCTCTCTATTGGTGTGACGGGAATGTCACGATTTACTGAAAGGTCCTTCATAAACAGACAGACAAGAAGTCAGAGTAAATATCTTTAATACCATTTTACATACAAGGTATTTGAAAATCATAAAATGATTACAAAGCTGAAAATATATTTACAAAAAGTACACCACCCCTCCCAAATCCAAAAACATTTCAAGAAACTTCAAAATGGGCTTTCCTTATCCTCTGTTAAAGTGTAAGGCCCATTCTAGGACTTCAGTGCCGCAGCGGGGGAGGGCTGCCACCCCTCCAAGGAATACTTTAAGACTTCAATGAGCCGGTCCCCCAGCTCCAATATTAGCACCCTGTTGGCGTGCCGCTCACCCGACAGAACCCATCAAGGGGCTAAATCACCCCGGAGCAAGACTGGCCCCCGTCGGGGGGGAGGGGAGGGTGCTCAGCCCCCAGATGCTGCACGGGACTCCTGGGACTGAAAACCGTTACACTTTTTTTTTTTTTAATGGAACATCCCTTTTAAAAAACAAATACAGAAACAGAACATTATGAAGAAAAAAAAAATCAATTAATTTCATCTGGGTACAATACTTAACAATCAGACTTCTCAAAAAAAAAAAAAAAACAAAAACAAAAAATTAAATTTCTAGGTACAACAGAAAATGGGTACAATTCTCCAAAGTCTATCTACATCGGCAGGCCGAAGGCCATTGAGGGGGAAACCTAATAGCGCCATGCAACAAAAAGACGACGCGCCTTTACGATGGCAAATAAAAAAAAAAAAAAGGCATTAAAAAAAGCAAAAAGGATAAGAGGGCAACCCATAGTCCCAGCCGTCTCCAATCAATGGTATACAGTATTCAAAAATAACTCCTTATTTACCACTTCCCTTTGGAAAATGGGATTGACCTTTAAATCCTTAAGAATTTTGGCACAAAAAGAGGCGAAGGATTGATAGTGTCAACATTTAATGTAACACGGGTATTACAGAAAGAAAAAAAAAAAAAAAAGAGGAAAAAAGAGAAAAAAAAAAAAAAAAAAGGGAAAAAAAAAAGGAGGAAAGAGAGAGAGGAAAATAAGAGGGAAAAAAAAAAAAAAAAGAGGGGGGGGGGGGGAAAGGGGGGGGGGGGAAAGAAAAAAGGGGGGGGGGGGGAAAGAAAAAAAAAGGGGGGGGGGGGGGGGAAGGGGTAAAATAGAAAAAAAAAAGAGGGAAAAAAAGGGGGGAAAAGAGGGAAAAAAAATAAATAAAAGGGGAAAAAAAAGAGGAAAAACAGAAGAGAAAATAAAAAAGGAGGTAAAAAAAAAAAAAAAAAAAAAAGAAAAGAAAAAAAAAAAAAAAAAAAAGGGGAAAAAAAAAAAAGAGGAAAGAGAGAGGAAAGAGAGGAAAATAAGAGGGAAAAAGGGGAAAAAAAAAAAAAGGAAAAAAGGGGGGAAAAAGGAAGAAAAAAAAAAAGAAGAGGGAAAAAAAGAAATAAAAGGGGAACAAAAAGAGGAAAAAAAAAAAAATGACATACTTTGTGCAGGTTGCGACTATGTACACAGCACTCAGTGTCACAAATACTATTTACTGTAAATCTGAAGCCTGGGGTGTAGCTCTGGCCCCGTCAAGAGATCTGCTCCCCTCCCCCAGCCGGCACTGCAGAATTCCTCAGCCACAGGAAAAGCAGGTACTTTGAACATTGCGCTGATACTATGTTTTGGGGCTCCAGTCTGACGCATGGCTGTGAAACTTTATTATCATGAAAATTTTGTTCAGTTAACCTTAGGATTCCCATTTCCCCGGCCCTTAGGGCTTGTTCACATGTGCTTTGATACCTGAAAAGTGATCCAGGTTCGGATCGCTGATCAGCAAGCACTTGACAGGCAGCGAGGAGGCGGATGCAGGCTGCTAGCAGAGCGACCCTATTCGCTTGAATGGGCCTTGCTCAGTGGGCACTGTGCCCGCCAAAAGTACCCGGATATAATTGCTGCTAAAAGCATCAGAGCATGTGTACACGCTAAAGGGGGAGCGGTTGGAGAGTGAGATGGGCGGTAAAAATGCAGCTCAGCTGCCAGTGTGAACAAGCCCTTGGTGGGTTGGCACTATTTACTCTTGCTGTTACCTGGAAGGTAAAAGGGACAATTTGAGCCGTGTGATCAGCAATACAAATAGCTCTTCCCATAGATCAGTGGCCTGTTGCGGCCCTTCGCGTGGCTTTTTTCCCGGTCGTCTTCGTTTTCCGGTTTCCTTCGTCTTCACATTCCCACAGTCCAAGGATCTCCAACAAATCTGGTAAACATTTCAGCTGAGACTAAATACTGAGCGATGTGACAACACAAAACACAGCACAGTCTGTAAATCCCCAGAATCCCGAGTGTGAAGGAAGTTCGTTCACAGTAATATCGAAGACTCTCCAGGATCATCACGAGGACAATTCTCCGGGACGGTCTCCAGGATCATCAACGGGACAATTCTCCGGGACGGTCTCCAGGATCATCAAGGGGACAATTCTCCAGGACGGTCTCCAGGATCATCACGGGGACAATTCTCCGGGACGGTCTCCAGGATTATCACGAGGACAATTCTCCGGGACGGTCTCCAGGATCATCAACGGGGACAATTCTCCGGGACGGTCTCCAGGATTATCACGAGGACAATTCTCCGGGACGGTCTCCAGGATTATCACGAGGACAATTCTCCGGGACGGTCTCCAGGATCATCACGAGGACAATTCTCCGGGACGGTCTCCAGGATCATCAAGGGGACAATTCTCCGGCACGGTCCCCAGGTTACATAGAAGGTGCGTCCTTCAGTCCCACAACCATTAACACCTTGTGAAGGAAAAGCCCAACTCTAGACACAAGAGCCTTACCCCGGTGCAGTCAGTATATCTTCCATTGCCTCACACTTGAAGGACTCGTTCACCTTTACCAAAGAACTGACTATGAAAGCGCCTGAAGGTAAAAGACTGTGCGGCTCTGACTAAAGCTGGGTACTGCCCTTCCTATAGACAAGCGGCATTGACATACCTCCCGAAGACTGACCGAAAAACTCCTGCAGATGGCACCTTCCTGTCCTGCCTTGTTGCTAGGATGTTGTGAAGACACTCCCAGCCATTACTGTTCATCCAAACCAACAGAAGAACGAGCTCTCAAATCCGCGCACATGCATAGTTCACTATTGGGTCGATTTACTAAAACTGGTGAGTGCAAAATTTGGTGCCGCCCTACATAGAATCCAACCGGCTTCCAGGTTTGTCAAAGCTTAAAGTGTTACTAAACCCCCGGATCCCCAATTCACTATATCCGTCTCCCCGGACCCTGCATTCACTATATCCAGTCTCCCCGGACCCTGCATTCACTATATCCACTCTCCCCAGACCCACATTCACTATATCTGGTGTCCCCGGACCCCGCATTCACTATATCCGGTCTCCCTGGACCCCGCATTCACTATATCTGGTGTCCCCTGGACTCTGCATTCACTATATCCGGTCTCCCCGGACCCCGCATTCACTATATCCGCTCTCCTCGGACCCTGCATTCACTATATCCGGTCTCCCTGGACCCCGCATTCACTATATCCGGTCTCCCCGGACCCCGCATTCACTATATCCGGTCTCCCTTGGACCCCGCATTCACTATATCCGGTCTCCCCGGACCCCGCATTCACTATATCCGCTCTCCCCAGACCCCGCATTCACTATATCCGCTCTCCCCGGACCCTGCATTCACTATATCTGGTCTCCCGGACCCCGCATTCACTATATCTGGTCTCCCCAGGACCCTGCATTCACTATATCCGCTCTCCCCGGACCCTGCATTCACTATATCCGCTCTCCCCGGACCCTGCATTCACTATATCCGGTCTTCCCGGACCCTGCATTCACTATATCTGGTCTCCCCGGACCCTGCATTCACTATATCGGTCTCCCAGGACCCCGCATTCACTATATCTGGTCTCCCCAGACCCCACGTTCACTATATCTGGTCTCCCCGGACCCCGCATTCACTATATCTGGCTCTCCCCAGACCCCACGTTCACTATATCTGGTCTCCCCGGACCCCGCATTCACTATATCTGGTCTCCCCAGACCCCACGTTCACTATATCTGGTCTCCCCGGACCCTGCATTCACTATATACTATATATAGGGCTCTGAGGAAGAGGCAAGTCCTCGAAACGCGTCAGCCTTTTGGATGTCTAAACTCCCTATTGCGGACTGTTACTCAGCGCGGTGTTGATCCAGCTGTTCTTTTATGATGTGCCTTGACTATATTGTCGATTGTGAGTACGTGATTATTAAACATTTTTTATGGTAATGCGCTAGGCCTGTGCGCCCTCTTTTTGTTCTTTCCCCATTCAGTATATTTGGATTCCCCCGGTCCATTTGAGGGCAGCAAGGTGTGCGTGTTCCAGGACATTCTTAATGTGGTTGTAGCATCGAGTCCATCCCCAAGCGCAGGAGCATTTGTGTTTGCTGGTTCTTTATTCACTATATCCGGTCACCCCCCCCCCGGACCCTGCATTCACTATATCCGGTCTCCCCGGACCCTGCATTCACTATATCTAGTCTCCCACCGTACACAGAACATGGAAACGAAATTATTTTAGTAAATATAAAACTGCTAAATCCCTTTTCTCATCAGCAGTATATAGCTGTCTTGTGACTTCTATCAGTGTCCAGCCCAGCACTAGCTAAAGCTTGTAGGGGGAGATTTTGTCCTGCTGTAGGAGAATGAAAAAAAACCCTGGACCTCCTCTGTCTGACCAGTGCTGATCACATGAACTCACCCAAGAAAAAGAAAAAAAACCTCTCTAGCAATACACACCAAACTGAGCATGTGCAAAAAGCCTACGGTTCAGTCAGTCTTATCAGGAGATAAGTGGTGGTCGCTTGAAAAAGGGGAAGAACAGAGAAGAAAAGATCAAATGGCTTTTTTACACCATGCCGAGGATTAACGCCTTAGGTCCCACAGTGAGTATAACAAGCATGCTTTACTGCATCTACAGACTGATTTACTGTTGTGGGTTTAGTTACACTTTAATTGAAGTTAGAAGCTGATTGGCTACCATGCACAGCTGCACCAGATTTTGCACTCTCCACTTGTAGTAAATCAACCCCTATGTCTTCCGTCACATCATCGATGAGCTCAGAGCTGTGACAAAGGAGAGAGAGCACGTGTGAGGGGCGTTGAATCAGCTGGGATTGTCTTAGCAACATCCTAGCAACAAGGCAGGACGGGATTATGCCATCTCTGGCCGGGCTTCCGGGGGTAAACGGCATACACTTATATAGGAAAAGGAGACCAAGGGAAAGAGATCCCTTAAGCCAAGGGGTCCCAATGAGGACAAACTGCGGCTTGTATGAAAAAAAAAACAAAAAATAACAATTCGACCATTTACTGCAGAATAAAAGATAGCAAACATGGAAAAAAACATACAAGATTAGACCTCACCACCACCGACAGAGAAGATTGAAGGATGGACATACAAGATTAGACCTCACCACCACCGACAGAGAAGATTGAAGGATGGACATACAAGATTAGACCTCACCACCACCGACAGAAAATTGAAGGATGGACATACAAGATTAGACCTCACCACCACCGACAGAAAATTGAAGGATGGACATACAAGATTAGACCTCACCACCACCGACAGAGAAGATTGAAGGATGGACATACAAGATTAGACCTCACCACCACCGACAGAGAAGATTGAAGGATGGACATACAAGATTAGACCTCACCACCACCGACAGAGAAGATTGAAGGATGGACATACAAGATTAGACCTCACCACCACCGACAGAAAATTGAAGGATGGACATACAAGATTAGACCTCACCACCACCGACAGAGAAGATTGAAGGATGTACATACAAGATTAGACCTCACCACCACCGACAGAAAATTGAAGGATGGACATACAAGATTAGACCTCACCACCACCGACAGTTTGAAGGATGGACATCTACAGTTGTGACCAAAATTATTCAACCCCCAATGCTGTAAAGGGGTTTAGGGACTATAGTGTACATTTGGAATTGTATTCAGAATCAAATCCTACAAGGACGTTGTAACTACCCAAATGCAACTAAAATGACATCAATTGTTTATGTAATACAGTAGTAAATGGTTCTTATGTGGTTTCTTCATTGCCACAATTATTCAACCCCTTAAAGACTACCACTCTGAAGAACAGAGGTTCATACAGGTGCTTTCCATCAGGTATTGAAAACACCTGTGGATGTGGGGGGGGGGGGGGGGGGGGGGGGGGGGGGGGGGGGGGGGGGGGGGGGGGGGGGGGGGGGGGGGGGGGGGGGGGGGGGGGGGGGGGGTGTCACCGAGCAGCAATCAAGCATAATAAGCACCAATTAGGCAGCTTTAAAATGACTGTGATACTCAGCTCCTTCTAGACATTTACTGGTGTGGTTACAAACATGGTGAAGGCAAGAGAATGGTCCAGGAAGACAAGAGAAGAGGTGATTTCTCTTCACAGGAAGGGCAATGGCTATAAGAAGATTGCAAAGATGTTAAACATACCAAGAGACACCTTAGGAAGCATCATTCGCAAATTCAAGGCAAAGGGCACTGTTGAAACGCTACCTGGTCGTGGCAGAAAGAAGATGCTGACTTCGACTGCTGTGCGCTACCTGAAGCGTAGAGTGGAGAGAAGTCCCCGTGTGACTGCTGAGGAACTGAGAAAAGATTTGTCAGATGTGGGTACAGAAGTTTCAGCCCAGACAATAAGACGCACACTGCGTAATGAAGGCCTCCGTGCCAGAACTCCCAGGCGTACCCCCCCTTGCTGTCTCCAAAGAATAAGAAGAGTCGACTGCAGTATGCCAAAAGCCATGTGGACAAACCACAAAAGTTGTGGGATAGTGTTCTGTGGACTGATGAAACAAAATTAGAACTGTTTGGGCCCATGGATCAACGCTATGTTTGGAGGAGGAAGAACAAGGCCTATGATGAAAAGAACACCTTGCCTACTGTGAAGCATGGTGGAGGGTCAATCATGCTTTGGGGCTGTTTTGCTTCTGCAGGTACAGGGAAGCTTCAGCGTGTGCAAGGTACCATGAATTCTCTTCAGTACCAGGAGATATTGGATGGAAACGTGATGCAGTCCGTCACACACCTGAGGCTTGGGAGACGTTGGACCTTTCAACAGGACAATGATCCCAAGCATACCTCCAAGTCCACTAGAGCATGGTTGCAGAGGAAAGGCTGGAACATTTTGGAGTGGCCATCGCAGTCACCAGACTTAAATCCGATTGAGAACCTCTGGTGGGACTTAAAGAAAGCAGTTGCAGTGCGCAAGCCTAAGAATGTGACTGAACTGGAGGCCTTTGCCCATGAAGAATGGGCGAAGATACCCGTAGATCGCTGCAAGACACTTGTGTCAAGCTATGCTTCACGTTTAAAAGCTGTTATAACTGTAAAAGGATGCTGTACTAAGTACTAAGATTGAATGTCACTTGGGGGTTGAATAAAACTGATAATGCTGTGAGCACAGAAAAGAACATTTGTGGTTATTTCATTATAACTGTTATGTTATATTTGTCTGACCTACAAGTGCCTCTTTAATGTAAATGTAAGCAAGATGACTGAATGATCAAAAGCAATGTCAAACTGGCCAAAACACTCAATTTCAGTGGGGGTTGAATAATTTTGGTCACAACTGTATATGACATGATCATCCAAAGTGACACCAGTGACATCTACATCTCCCATGGCATAGTATTCCTACTGAGGTGCCGGGACTTCTCAGCGTGTGGTGTCACTTTGGATGATCATGTCATCTCCATCCTTCAATCTTCTCTGTCGGTGGTGGTGAGGTCTAATCTTGTATGTCCATCCTTCAATTTTCTGTCGGTGGTGGTGAGATCTAATCTTTTATGGTTTTTTCCATGTTTGCTATCTTTTATTCTGCAATAAATGGTCGAATTGTTATTTTTTTTTCATACAAGCCGCAGTTTGTCCTCATTGTGGACCCCATGTCTCAAGGGATCTCTTTCCCTTGGTCTCCTTCTCCTATGTTGTAATCGGTCCCAAGGACACCACAGTGTGATTCACATGTGAGTCGGCAATTAGTATTTGGGGTCATTCGGTTGGGATCCCCTTGATTACAAGTCAACCAATATCTGGTTATGGGCATGTCAGTTTTTGATTTTTTGTTACTGGCATACACCTATAGCAAGGGCATTATTTATCTTTGGTCACAGCTACACAGTTTGCCTTTGCCTACAGATATTCTGTTTTTTGATGAATGAACCCTTTAGCGCCCCCCCCATCATGCAGGCTTTCTTCTACATTACAGAAATCTGCCCTTTAACATGCAGGGATTAGTACTGCTGCCCACCGTACTTCAGGCCTGCTTGGATGTAAGCGCCGCGGGTCTCATAGTCCCCACCCCTTCGATTGGTGTTCCTGCCTCCCTCTTTTCCTGGCCATTCACAAAAAGAAGACCGGAGCTGGGTTTATTTTGCCTGGAGGATGGCGGCTATACTGATCCTGGCATGTAAAAGGGCAGATTTGCGTAGTGTAGAAGGAAGACTCCATGACCGGGGAAGGGGGGGGGGGGGTGAGTTTACGGCAACAGAATGTAAACCCAACAAAGCAAGATGCGTTTATTGCGCCCGGAGTTGGTTTTATTGATTTAAAAGGACAGTCATGACACCTGCGGCAGAGAAAACGCAATCAGCACTGCTGAGCAACTGCATCGCGGCTTTTCTGTCCAGCCTCAGATCTCTGACTATCCGACAACTCTGACCAATCGCTGCTTAGAAGATAGGTAAACCCTTATGTGAGGACGACAAATGACTTAAAAATCTCATCCATGCCATGTAGCGAAGCGGTTACTGCACTGTGCAAAAATCTGTCCTCGTCGGCATGGTAGGCAGCTCCATGTGACCACAAAGAGGACGAACAAATATGACCGAGGATGTTAGGTGAACAGTGGGATCTATACGATGCGTGCCCAGCTTGATGAAGAGAGGAGGAGGAAGAATACCGTTCACTTCTACCGCTGACGCCGGCGGTAACTACGATCGCTGCCGCTGTACGATGACCGGCGACTCCTGAAAAGAGAATAAAGACAAAAAAATTGGGATGAGACCTGAGGAGCGGTAAGATCAACCTGACTCTGCAAAGTCTTTAGAGCTCAACTTTGGACTACCCTCCCCTCGGGGGCCCCGCTGGCTTCATTTTATGCCTGACACTGCAGGGTCGTCTTCATCTTCACCTCTTCTCCAGTCCTAATAGATGCAGAGAGGTGCTGACTTGATGATGTTGGCGCCACTTTCTGCACCGGTACACTGTAAGTTAAGGGCATCCTATGGTGATACCACCTCAGGAGGCGGGGCCAGACTCCCAGAATTCACAGTAGAGTCGTCAGTCTTCCAGCATCATTCAGCGAGGAAGAATGAGGACATCCTGAGGCCAAGAAAAAGCTCTGCTTTGGATTAAAGCAGAACTTCCCCAAAAGGGGAATCCGTGCCCACCCCCGCTCAGATCGCCTAGGCTGCATGTTCCTACGGGCCGAATCTGGCCCACCAGGCCATTTCATGTGGCCCTTGCACCTGTCTGCAGCTTCAGCACTGCTTTATCTCCATACCCACCTTGTCTCAGAAGTCGGCAGCAGAGAGGATGACAGAACTCCTCCTACAGATCCTGTGCCTCTCTGTGCAGCTGCAGCACCCCCTCATTTCCGCCTCCCCTGGTCTCACACTTTCTGCTTCCAAGCTCCGCCTCCAGCCTCCTCACAGCAGTGGCACAAGGTAAGGGAGGCACATTGTGATGTACAGGAGGGTGGGGGATTCTTGACTTCTGATGGCAGAGGGGCTATTGACATCTGATGTCAGTTTTGAAAGGTACCCATGCCCAATTCCGCTCAGATTGCCTAGGCTGCATTTGCCTGCGGGCCGAATCCGGCCCACCAGGCCATTTCATGTGGCCCTCACACCTCTCTGCAGCTTCAGCACCGCCTTATTTCTGAACCCACCTTGTCTCAGAAGTCGGCAGCGGAGAGGATGACAGAACTCCTCCTACAGATCCTGTGCCTCTCTGTGCAGCCGCAGCACCCCCTCATTTCCGCCTCCCCTGGTCTCACACTTTCTGCTTCCAAGCTCCGCCTCCAACCTCCTCCCAGCAGTGGCACAAGGTTAGGGAGGTGCATTGTGATGTACAGGAGGGTGGGGGATTCTTGACTTCTGATGGCGGAGGGGCTCTTGACATATGATGTCAGTTTTGAAAGGTACCCATGCCCACTTCTGCTGAGATCGCCTAGGCTGCATGTGCCTGCGGGCCAAATCCGGCCCCACCAGGCCATTTCATGTGGCCCTCACACCTCTCTGCAGCTTCAGCACCGCCTTATCTTACCCACCTTGTCTTCGGCAGCAGAGAGGAGGGAACTCCTCCTACAGATTCCTGTGTGCCTCTCTGTGCAGCTGCAGCACCCCCTCATTTCCGCCTCCCCTGGTCTCACACTTTCTGCTTCCAAGCTCCACCTCCAGCCTCCTCCCAGCAGTGGCACAAGGTTAGGGAGGTGCATTGTGATGTACAGGAGGGTGGGGGATTCTTGACTTCTGATGGCGGAGGGGCTCTTGACATATGATGTCAGTTTTGAAAGGTACCCATGCCCAATTCCGCTGAGATCGCCTAGGCTGCATGTGCCTGCGGGCCGAATCCGGCCCCACCAGGCCATTTCATGCGGCCCTCACACCTCTCTGCAGTTTCAGCTTCTGATGGCGGAGGGGCTCTTGACATCTGATCTAAGTGGAGGTGGAGTGCTCTCTGGACATCTAGTTTTACAGACACAGACGGCCCTTTGAGGGCAACCATACTTGTAATGCAGCCTGCAATGACATTAAATTTGACACCCCTGGGTGGAAGTTCGCCCCCGCAGCCTTCTGGTACACTTCTCCGCTGAGATTCTGACTGGAGGGCAAGGGTGTACAGGTGTACCTCGGTTTACGAACGCCTCGGTTAACATAATTTTCGGTGTACGAATGAAAATCCATTGAAAATAATGCCTCGGTTTACGAACTTTTTACTCATTTTTTTCGCAATACGAAGTGTATGTCGGTGCTGATTTTTAAATGCAATTGCCGGCTTTTTTTTTTCTTCACTATAGCTCACAAGATTAGCTGTCACTTTCCCTAGAGTTACAGGAAACTTTTGTTTCTTTTAAGAAACTAAAAGGAAAAATATTTCTTTTAACTTAAACTAAAAGAAAACTCTCTCTTTTAGTCGGGGAAAAAGGGACAGCTGAATTTCTGAGCCATTGTGAAGAAAAAAAAAAAAAAAAAACGAAAAAAAAAAAAAACACAGTAATTACATTTAAAAACCAGCACCATAATAAAAATACCTTTGGGTCTGGTATGGATTTTAAAGGGGAACTCCCATGTCTAAACGATTTTAAAAAATGGCGTGGGAGCCACCCCCAAAATTCATACCACACCCTTATCCGAGCATGCAGTCCGACACGTCAGGAAGGGGGGGTGGAGCAAGCGCCGTGGGTTTTGGGAGAAGAGGCCCTTATCCCCATTAACATTGGACTTATCAGAATCTGGAAGCTCCCCCTGAACCACAGCACCCCCCCATGTTGAGGGCATGTGGCCTGGTATGGTTCAGGAGGAGGGGGGGGTGCGTGCTCGCTCATCCCCCCCCCTTTCCTGACCTGCCGGGCTGCATGCTCAGATAAGGGTCTGGTATGGATTTTGGGGGGGACCCCCATGCCATTTTGTTTTAAATTTTGGCGTGGGAGTTTCCCTCAATATCCATACCAGACCTGAAGGGCTTGGTATGGATGGGAGGGGGAACCCAACGCTGTTTTTTCTAATTATTTTTTTAATTGCCAGCAATTCTTTTACATTCAGCTGTCAGTGGGGAACCCCGCTGACAGCTGAAACATTAACACATGGTTGTCACTACTAAAATACCGCATGACTTATTAAAATAACTCATGCGGTATTTTAGTAGCATTTACTTTTTTCTGATCTCCGGAACGGATTAATTGGTTTTCAATGCATTGCTATGGGAAACGGTGTTTCGGTTTACGAATATTTCGCTATATGAAAAGTCCTGCAGAACGAATTAAATTCGTAAACCGAGTTACTACTGTATACGACTCTACTTCCTAGTAGGCACCGATGGCAAGCCCGCATCGAGGAAGGCACTGATGCACAATGCCTCCTTGTGATTCATAATGGAGCAGTGCTTGGTGCTGGAAAGCTCTGTGTTCCATCACAGGGCACCCACTACCAATCTGCAAGCCTGGAAACAGAGAGGAGACATTGCAGCTGTCCCCTGAAAGTCCACTTCATTTGGGCCCCCCTGTCCCGGGCCCCATGTGCAGCCCAGCAGAAGGGAGGCTGCGACCAGGTGGCTGAGAGCCAATGACTCAACAACACTTTTTGGTACTGGTTACCCACCTAGACCTTCTCTTATAGTTGCGTGATCGGTGGTAGGTTGGACTTCTGCTGTGACTCCTACTTCTGCTATAGTAGCTGTCGTATGTGTGTGAACGACTTCTGCAAGAAGACACAGAGCAAAAACTAAGACTTCCACATGTAAACAACAATGAAGCACGCTGTTCACACACTCATAACAATCAGACTGTAATGTCTCTGGATAACGTCCTTTAGATTTACCCACAGCTAAGAAGCATGACAGCCCTCACACTACAAAGCTGCCCTGCCCGTAAGTCTACAGATTGTACCATCAGATTGTAATATTTGTGACCCAATGAATGACTTTAAAAGTCCGGCTTCATCATTGGGGGTTCTGCTTCTCTGACAAACGGTCCCCGTCTCCCAAAAACTGTGCTCCTGTGATATCAGGTGGGTCCTTCTGATGGTGAAAGGCAGTAAATGTGCCTGTCGTATCCCAAAACAGGAGGTGCCTGAAGAAAGCCCTTCATGGTATATTTAAAAAAAAAACAAAAAAAACAAAAAACCTGTAAAGCAGTGGTTCTCAACCATCCTAATGCCGTGACCCTTTAATACAGTTCCTCATGTTGTGGTGACCCCCAACCATAAAATTATTTACTCAGTAATTATAATTCATGAGTGTCGTTTTGCCTCCAATACAGCTGCTTTAAACACAGTAGCTGCTGTTTCAACAGAGCAGCTGCTTTCTACACAGCAGCTGCTTTCTACACAGCAGCTACTTTCTACACAGCAGCTACTTTCTACACAGCAGCTGCTCTTTACAAATTTTGAAATTTCTCCCTTCCATGGTTCTCCTTTTCCCCTCCTCACCAACAGGATACATTTTAAAGCAAAGTTCCAATCACACTGTCAAAAAAAAAATAAAAAATCAGCAGCTACAAAAACTGTAGCTACTGACTTCTAAAAAACAGCCACTTACTGGTCCCTCGGTGTGTCCCGCGCAGCCCGTTTCACCGGCCGTCCTGTATTCCAGGAGGCCGGCATCTTAAGTGTGGGCACCCGGCTGTGTAACAGCTTTCGGCTTCACATCCGGGTACCCACTGCGCATGCGCGAGTAGCGCTGCGCTTCATGAATGGTCCTGTAGTCTTCTGGGACCGGTCACGTGTTCCAAAAGACTACAGGGAGGGAGGACACCTTCCGCTTCTGATCGCCTAGGCCAGTGGTCGGCAAGCAGCGGCTCGCGAGCCACATGCGGCTCTTTACAAACTTAAATGCGGCTCTTCTGTGTGCCGGGCGCCCGCTCCCCTCCCTCCTCTCGGGCGGCGCCCCCCCTCCCTCCTCTCGGGCGGCCGCCCCCCTCCCTCCTCTCGGGCGGCCGCCCCAAAAGTCAGGACTCTGCAGCTGTCAGGATGTAGGCGGGGCAGCCAGGATGTAGGCGGTGGCAGCGTGACGAACTCCTCTCCTCTCTCAGTCCGCCCTGAAGACCAGCCCCCGGGGGAACACGGCGAGAGAGGAACGCGTGGAGCAAAGGTAAGTGAATTGACACAGGGGGGACTTACTATATGGGGGATGAATTACTATATGGGGGATGAATTACTATGGGGGATGAATTACTATGGGGGATGAATTACTATATGGGGGATGAATTACTATATGGGGATGAAATTACTATATGGGGGATGAATTGCTATATGGGGGATGAATTGCTATATGGGGGATTAATTACTATGGGGGATGAATTACTATATGGGGGATGAATTACCATGGGGGAATTTACTATGGGGGAATTATGTAGGGTATGGGGGATGAATTACTGTAACCTATGGGGGATGAATTACTGTATGGGGATGAATTACTATGGGGGATGAATTACTATATGGGGGATGAATTACTATATGGGCGATGAATTACTATATGGGGGATGAATTACTATGGGGATGAATTGCTATATGGGGGATGAATTGCTATATGGGGGGAGATTTATATGGGGGATGAATTACTATATGGGGGATGAATTACTATATGGGGGATGAATTACTATATGGGGGGGGTGAATTACTATATGGGGGATGAATTACTATATGGGGGATGAATTGCTATATGGGGGATGAATTTACTATGGGGGATGAATTACTATATGGGGGATGAATTACTATATGGGGGATGAATTACTATATGGGGGGGATGAATTACTATATGGGGGATGAATTACTATATGGGGGATGCATTACTATGGGGGATGAATTACTATATGGGGGATGAATTACTATATGGGGGATGAATTACTATATGGGGGATGAATTACTATGGGGGATGAATTACTATATGGGAGATGTATTTTCAGTTTTAAAAATGTGGCTCTCAAAATAAATTTCAATCGTGGTTTTGGCGAGATTTGGCTCAGTTGAAAAAAAAACAGGTTGCCCACCACTGGCCTAGGCGATCGGACCGGATACCTGTCAAATTCGGGGTACTTGCTCCCTCCCCTCCAAAGGTGCCAATCCTTAATGGGGAGTGGGGGAGCAGACCTTAAGCTAATCTGTCCTCAGGACAACTATTAGTCGTGCACTCCACAAATCTGGCCTTAATGGAGGAGTGACAAGAAGAAAGCCATTGTTGGAAGAAAGCCATAAGATGTCTGTTTGTAGTTTGGGAGAAGCCATGTGGGGGACACAGCAAACATGTGGAAGAAGGGGCTCTGGTCAGATGAGACCAAAACTAAACTTTTTGGCCTAAAAAAAAATGCTATGTGTGGCAGAGAACTAACACTGCACATCACCCTGAACACACCATCCCCACCGTGAAACATGGTGGTGTCAGCATCATGTTGTTGGGATGCTTTTCTTCAGCAGGGACATGGAAGCTGGTCAGAGTTGATGGGAAGATGGATGGAGCCAAATACAGGGCAATCTTAGAAGAAAACCTGTTCGAGTCTGCAAAAGACTTGAGACCGGGGCGGAGGTTCACCTTCCAGCAGGACAACGACCCGAGAATGTTTCAGATCAAAGCATCTTCATGTGTTAGAATGGCCCAGTCACAGTCCAGACCCAAAGCCAATGGAGAATCTGTGGCAAGACTTGAAAATTGCTGCCCACAGACGCTCTCCATCCAATCTGACAGCTTGAGCGATTCTGCAACAAAGAATGGGCAGAAATGTCCCTCTCTAGATGTGCAAAGAGACATCCCAAAAAGACTTGCAGCTGTAATTGCGGGGAAAGGGGGTCCTACAAAGTATTGACTCCGGGGGGCTGAATACAAATGCTGCCACACTTTTCACAGATTTATTGGCCACAAATGTTGAAAACCATTTTTCATTTTCCTTCCACTTCACAATTATGTGCCACTTTGTATCGGTCTATCACATCAAATCCCGATAAATACATTGCAACGTGACAACATGGGGGACATTTCTAGGGGTACGAATACTTTTTCAAGGCACTGTAGCTTCCTGAAAAGATCACAGCACCCTGCCTCAGTACTCCTCTTAACCACTTCCTATCCCACGTACATTTAGAAACATCCTTGGACGGGAAGGGTGATATCTCGGTCATTGCTGAATAAATGATCGAGGTATCCTCTTGTCCCCCCAGTGATTTTATACAAAACAAAAGTAATCCGAGTGGCTAACAAGCCACTGGATTACTTTTACAGGTGGCGAAAGGGGGTCCCACCCACCTCCCACTACATTTACCAGGTTCTCCTGTGCGATCGGAGAGCTCAGTAAGGATACGACCAGTGGCATTCAGCTCTAGGCACACAATGGGAAGAACGGATGTGTTTCCTCCCACTGTATGATGTCACAACCAGGAAACGACAAGGATTTAATCACTTCCTGTTTCGGTCCTTTGTTTACCTGGCTGTTACTGGCCAGAGAGGCAGCTTATCAGACCGATCTGAGTTTGAGGCCAAAGGAGACTCATAGACCCCTGATCTCTCCACAAAGAGGGCCTGTCATGGCTCATACTATTACAAGGGATATTGTTCATCTTTTGTAATAGCAATAAAGTTGAACACAAAAAAAGTTAAACAGTGAAAAAAAAAAAAAAAAGTTATACAATTAACCGATTCCCGCTTGCAATATACCGCGGCCGGGCGGCATCTTCAGCTAAACTACGTACCCGTACGTAGCTCTGGCTGTCTCTCTGGCTGCTGCTCTGGCTGTGACACAGCAGAATGAAGATCCCAGTAAACGAGACCCAGTGATCATGTGATCGCTATGCGATCACATGATCACAAAGTAAACAAAGCTGTTATGAATAAATCTCATTCATAGCAGCTCTACTCCTCTTCCTAGTGAGCTATGATTGGTCCACAGCTGTCACATGATACATGGGGCCCAATCACAGCACTCTTAAACACGTGACCAGCTCTAGCCAATCACAGATCACTATCTTGAGCTGTCAAAAAACTAACTCTTTCATGACAGTTCATGAATGAGTTAAGTTCATGACCTTTATTTCTCCCGCAAAGCGTAAAAAAAAAAAAAAAAAAAATCCCTGATCAACTCCCCCCCCCACCCTCCCCACAACTATAGTAACATAGTACTATTCTGATAAAAGTATTAAAGAAAATAAAATAGAAAAATGTTAACAAATAAAATAAAAAATACAATAAAAAATACAATATTGAGAATAAAAAGAAAAATAAAAATAAATGAAGGGCTTTTTTTTTTTTTTTTTTTTGAACTACTTGCTAACCGATTATCGGCATTTTGCGGCTGAGCGACGTAATCTTGCGCCATTTCCTATTTTGAGGTGTGAACAAGCCTGCGCCACAAGCCTGCGCCCCCCTCCCCCCCCCGCTCGGTCCAGGGAAAGAAGAGAGAAACACGGCACCGAGTAAAAGAACTACATTTTACACACACACACAAACGTTAGATTAGCACATTTAACCCTTTGATCGCCCTGACACCCAGCCAGTGCCATTAGTACAGTGTCAGTATATAGAATTTTTCAGCGATCACTGCATTCCTGCCACTAGCGACATCAGATAGCGTCAGGGTCAGTAAGAGTCCCTCCCAGCCAAGGTCAGCTAGCATTGCCCGCACACTATAGGTTGCAGATGACCCCCATTACTAGTATAGTGTTTGTACGGATCAAGATATTGATTATGAACAGAACCATACTAGTGCCTGCTTAGTATAGTATCCCCAAAAACGCAGAATTAGCAGGATCAACCCTGTTCGCAGTCAGCTTTAGCGTTTAGCCCTTCGCTTTTTACACGCAAGATTTGTACCAATTGATTGTGGGCCAAGGCAATTTATACGCACAACAATACATCGCTGCCCACCCAAAGTCATGGGCATTACAAAAAGAATGAATTGTGGTCACATTGGTCCACAGAACCGATTCATCGTATGCCCGTGTTCTCGCCTTTTACATATATGCCCCACATGGACCAGCAATGCACCGGTACCTCGCTGGTTTTTTAGGGTGGTTATACCGGGATGATGCCTGCAGCTACAGGTATCATCCTGGTATCGTTTTTTTTTCAGCTGGCGTTCAGCATTCATGCAAAAGCAATCCTAGTGCCTAATTAGCTGCTTAATTGTTATGAGCAACGGGAAGGGACATTCCCCCTCCCCCCCTCCTGCTGCCTTCCAAAGTTTTCTTGGGCTCTCCTGCCCCACTGGGGAATCCGAGAATGCAGCTGGCAGTTCCACTGGCTGACCATAGAGCTGATCAGAGACCAGAATGCCTCCAATCATCTCTATAGTCTAAGAAATAGGACGCTACGAGCATTTCATTTTCGCAGGATATAAACAGCGCCATTTGTAAATTGGGAAAGCATCTGATCACACCGATCTTGGTGAAATCCGATGATGTAAGGGCAGAGGAGATATCAGTCTAATAGACCCCAGATTTAAAAGAGAATACTTGTCAATGCCTATTTCAGTCAGAGGGGATATTTAAATTCCCTGTTATAGCAATAAAAGTGATATATAAAAAAAAAATTAAAAAAAAAAAAAATCACCCTTGCCCCCCTGCGTGTGCACACCTGCGTGCGCAAGCGTTCATCAACGTGCCTGTACGTAAACAGCAGGTGCGCCATGCATGTGAGGTATCGCCGCAAACGTCAGATCGAGGGCAGTAATTCTAGCACTAGACCTCCTGTGTAGATATAAATTGGTGACCTGTAAAGGCTTTTAAAGCACCACCTATCGATAATAAAAATGTATGTACTTTGTTGCCATTGCACGGGCATTTGCAATTTTAAAGCATGTCATGTTTGGTATCTCTTTACTCGGCGTAACATCGTATTTTATATTTTATCAAACAATTGGGCAATATATTGTGTTTTTGTGCATTAAAAATCTAAAAAGTGTATTTTTCCCAAAAGATTTGCATTTGAAAAATCCATGCGAAAATACAGTGTGACATAAAAAATTTCAACACCCACAGTTTTATTGTCTAGGGCCTCTGCTTTAAAAAAATACATAATGTTTGGGGGTTCAAAGTAATTTTCTAGCAAAAAAACAGATTTTTCATGTGAACAAAAAGTGTCAGAAAAGGAGTGGGTGACGTGTGGCATAAGCTTCTAATGTTGGCCCTGAAATGCCAGGATAGTAGAAGCAACCCCTCCAAATGACCCCTTTTTGGAAAGCAGACACTCCAAGGTACTTGTTAAGACGCATGGTGAGTATTTGTATTTTGCAGATCTCATTTGTTGCCACATGTTTTTGGAAACCGAAGAAAGACCGAAAAGAAAAAATACATTTTTGTTTTTTTTTTCTTTTTCAAAACGCTGTGACAAAAATTATATCTGTAAAATACTATCCTGGCATTTTAGAGCCTCTGAAACTGCGATAGGTAGTGGGGAAGTGATATGAGGAAATATGCCCTTTGAATGCCTGGAGGTGGTCACTGGATTTTGGGAGCCTGTATGTAGCCAGGCTGCCAAAAATTCTGTCACATGTGGTATCCCCATACTCAGGAGAAGTAGGAAAATGTATTTTGGGGTGTTATTCCACATATACCCATGGCATGCATGAGCAATATATCTGTCAGGAATGGACTGGCCAGCAATGGTGGGACTCACCTGCCTTTTGATCTGCAGTACCAGGGCTGGCCAGCGGGTGCTCCCAGCAATCAGAGACTCAACCTTTCAGCCAGCTAACACCTGGAACTGATGATACTGGTGTATTTGAGGGATGGCCAGACTTGCAGACTCTGCCTTGGTGTTGTGTTTGTCCTGGGCCCTGTATCTGTCCTGCATCCTGTTTCTGTTCCTTTGCTACCTGTTCTGATCCCTGGCTTGTGACCCTGACCATCCCTCTGCCTGACCCTCTGTACTACGCTGCTTGCTACCTGTTCTGATCCCTGGCTTGTGACCCTGACCATCCCTCTGCCTGACCCTCTGTACTACGCTGCTTGCTACCTGCTGAACCTGGCCTGTGACCCCGACCATTCTCCGCTTGCTCCCCCTGTACCTACCTGCCCAATTGATATTGACTCGGCCTGCCTGACGACGCTTGCTTGTATGTACTGTTATCTGTGGGTGGTTGGTTGGGTTTGTTTGCACTGTATTATGTTT